ACTTACACTATCGTATATATAGAAATCTCAATTTCCACTTGATACAAATTCCACTTGGGCAAAAATGGTAAAACCGAAACAGATATGTTGTAAGAAAAGTAAACACTCAAATTTTGTGCTTGATATTTCCACTCTTTCACAGGTGAAAAATAGTTTTAGTTAAATGAAAAGCAATGCGACAATAAACGCAATCAAATACTCATCGAAATATGTCCGATTGAATGGAAATTATTCACTTAACTAATTCCTGGTACAATTAAACTCCAAAAACTCGTTCACTCTTCACTGTGGCTGGCAGCCGGAGCACTCTTGGCCTACCCAACACTTTAGTGGTTAAACAATGGATTTGTGTTGTTGCAGTTGCATAAATTTCGGGCTAAAAACAAACCCAATCAATCCCCCAGACCCGACTCAATCCTCCCGCAACAATTTCAATTTCTCGCCCCCCTTCGCTCGGTTGCTCGGTTGCATGTCACAAACGCTAAAACAACATGCACTTAAAAAAGCCAGAAACATCTCGTACTCTTCCGTCGTACGCGTACGAACCACCATCTCCCCCCCCAGTGCCATCTCTAATGGTCGTTGTTGTTGAGAAAATAAACAAAATGCTTGTTGATATTTTGTGGCAGCCAATGAAGCAAACAACTTTCTGTCTGTCCGTTCGTTCGTTCGTTTGTCTTGTGTGTGTCCATAGCATCCGTTGGCCTGCAGCGGAATCGGACAAAATCAACAATACAGGACTCACAACCGACAAGAGATGGAGGCAGGACACACACACGCACACACACAAGAGAAAGAGACACAGCACGTGCAACGAAATCATCTCCATCTCTCTCTCTCTCTCTCTCTCTCTCTGTTTCTGGGAAACAAAAGCAGCTTCCATCTGCCGCATAATTGCAAACAAAAACTGAACTGAAAATATGTATGCCAATGCGAACCCGAATCCGAACCTCGACTGCAACTCGAATTGGAACTGTGCAAAGTGTTATCACATTTCACTTGCAGCCGGGGTCTACTCCAGTGTCCCACCCATCATCATCGCCTCGCCTCATCAAACTTCGCATGGCAAAGCGGTAGCAAGCGTGCCACTGGATAACCCGCCGCAGTAACTGTCAAATGAGAAATGTCAACCGAACAGGTCAGCGTTCAGGTTGCAGTGCAGTGGAAAATTGTTTGGAAGGGACAAATTTTCAGAGGAGGCGACCACCAGCATGGCGCCCACAGAAAGAGGGACACTGATTGGGAGTCTAGACTCTAGAGCGGGCTGAGCTCTAATTTGCTGGCGGGGAGAGAATTTATCGACTGTAGAGTTGTCACTGATGGAAACGGGAAACAATAAATCGATGTAAGAAGCAATTTGAAACCGCTTTTTAAAGTACACAAATGGAGCACATTTCTCGAAACTAATCTACAAATTGATCAGTAGATCGATATAATGGCCTATCTTTTAGTTATAAAGAATAGGCTGATGAATAGGATGATGGTTTGCTCAATGCAGATAATTAGACCCCCTCCTATATAGATCAATGACAGACTTTTACAGCAATACATACGAGTATCTAAAGTAAAACAAAAAACCTAAGCTATGATAAAAAAATTTTCGTTTTTATAGTAGTGAGATAGATGCTAGCAGAATTCAACTTGCCACATTAAAAATTACTCCAACAAATCCATTTATCCCTATGTATTCAGCAGAAGAGTTTGATGTCTTTCCTCTGGTTCTGTGCTGCAGTTCCCCCGTGTTCTGGAACCAATTCCCACCATTGTTGGCGACAGATTTTAGCCGCTTGTTAGTGGCTAACAGTGGCTTCATAAATACACACTCTGTCGGAGCTGGGAGTTGGGTTAGCTGGGGCTCAATATATCGGAGGCTTGTCACATGCTGCGTTACACCTTCGAACCTCACCATCGATGGGTATTTTTCTGCAGATTTTCCTTCGGTACGAGTACGAGTATCTGGGTGTGTGTGTGTGTGTTTTGTCCGCAACAAAGCAACGTTTACAGAATCAACCGCAGGAAGGTACACATCCAGGGAGTGAGCTGGGGAGAGAGAGATCCCAACCATATAAATAAACAAAGCTCTGGTGTAGCTCTTGCTGCGTCCTCCTCCTTACGCACTTTGTCGTGGAGTGAAACGAGAAGCAAACTGTCGAAACTGTCAGGATGTCAAATAAGCGACAGTGGGTAGGGAATACGACTACAGAGCGAGAAGAGCTGGGAGATCGGGAAACAGAACAACAACGACAGCAACATCAACCAGTACCAGTACCAATACCAGAGGCTGTAGCAGTAGCAGTATCAGAGGACCACCCTAGGCATATTTATTGGAAATCTGAAACAGCTCGAATGTCCATGTTCAACCCCGCTACACTCCAATCCACAATCCACTTCACTTCACTCCACCCACTTCCACTTCCCATTCCACAACCACTCCATCCGTGTGTATCCATGTCCGGCAGAAGGCACAAAGAATTTGTTACATGAAATTGTTAACGGGCTGAAGCTGAAGCCTCGACTCTGCGTTTGATGCCTTTTGCTGATATATGGCCAACCTTTGACATCCTTTAAACGAGCAACATGATGCTCTAGATTATGGTCCCGGGGCCCAGGCCAGTCCAGGATAGGATAGGACAGGACAGGAGATTGCCTGGGTGCCTGTCTCTGTCTCCCACTCCATCTCTCGCTCGCTGCGTGTGTCTCTTGTTGTCTCACTTGGGCGATACGTCAATGTGACAGTTTGATAATTTATTTTGTTCAAATTTTGTTTTTCCTTTCTGCGTATTTGTGTGTGTATGTGTGTGTGTGGGAAAAGCGCTTAAATAAGTTATCAACGGGCTTTGGGCTTGGGCCATGTAAATGGCAGCACGTAAATGAATGAAATTATTTTGCAACAAATTAAGGCAAATTTATGCGTCAAGACGACAGGACAGGACCAGGGCCATGGCCACCAGAGATGGGCAGCATTTTTTTGGGGAAACTTGTAACAGGAAACACAATCCACAGGCAAACAAACAAAAGCAAAAACGGAACGAAACGAAACGAAACGAAACCAACAAACAAACAAACAATGAAACGAAAACGGAACGAAACGAATTTTCCTTCAGCGAAATCTGAGCGAGGCTTTGTCCCACAAAGTGCTGCATGGGGGGAATCCCCAAGCCTCCTTCGAAATGGAGGCTAACTGGTGGTAGCACCACACACATCTACAGCTACAGATACAGATATATATATTTTTTATTTCTCTGCCTCTCGCCGAATCAAATGTCAATAGAGAGTACATTTCATTCAGCCGGGTGATGCTTTTTCCGCCTCCTCCAAACTCTTCCTTGTGGCCTTCTCGGCCAGAAACATCCTCAACCCTCCTCCTGCTGGTGTCCCCGCCCGCATTGTAGCTGTCACAGTGTTTGTTTGCGGATTTGAAGCTTTTTCCTCTTCGGCAACGCGCTTTTTTTTCCACGCTTCCCTTTCAAGAAGTAGTCCGATGATCAAAAGCTAAAGGTAACTGAGACTTAGATCAATTGAAATTGCTGGTGGAGGGTTAGGTCACCCTCTTGTGGTATTTATAAGAGAGTAATAAGAGTAATAAGAGCAATATAAGAGAGAGATGGGGTAAATAATAACAAAGCTACAGTCAAAGATATTTTCATAAGTCATTGCTTTTCTGATTTTAGATCTGATTTAAAAATCTATCTTTGCATCTGTAACAAAACAATGAGAAGAATTCCATCATAATATTACATTTTTGTAACAAGTTTTTTACTACCATTGTAATCCATATAATCTTTTCTTTGCATTGGTAAATAATAATAAACAATAAATTCAATTTAATTCACTTTCAGCTTAAATTTTCAAGCTAGTTTTTTAGTAATCAAATTTGTTTCAATTTCTCACTAACACTTAAATAAATTTAATCTTTAAATATTTAATCTGAATTCGTGTCCATTCCACATTAAATTTCTGAAACCCAGAGCATCTCGTGTTCGTCAAATTTTGCTCGATCCCCTAATCTGCTTTCTGGTTCTGATTCTGGTTTTATTTCCGGGGCATCTCCTTGATGTTCTCCTCTCCCTCATCGCTTCTGGCCGAGCTGCTCGTGCTTTGGTTTTTATTTGCACGGAAATGTATAATTTTTCCGAGTCAAATGTAAATACTTTTAGCGTATTTTAGTATTTTTGTGGGTTTCATCTCGTTTCTCTCTCGCTCTGCCACTCGTTGAGTTTTCGCCCAACAACTGGTATGAGGAGAAGGGGCGTGGCGCATGCAAATGACACGCCTGATGCTGCGTAAATAATTTTAGCGCTCTCCGTTGGCATGAAATGCAAAATAAACATTTTATTTCAATGTAGCCTTGCTTTTGCCTTCGACCGAACAGAGATGCCGATGCCGATGCCGTCGCCGTCGCCGTCTTTGAATGTGGGTCAAATGGTGGCCAAAAAGCGAACTGTTACCCAAGCCAAATGCCAAAATACAGTTTAATTATACAAATACAATATGTAGTAGCTACTAGTATATAGTATATATGTGTGTATGTATATTGGAGTAAAATGGCGCGATTTGGTTGCGGTTAGCATTTTGTGGTTGCCACAATGTCACGTTTCAACAGCTCAATTTTGGGTTTTGAAGAAAACTTTCGAATCCAATTAAATGCCAAATATATCTGTAAGCACAAATCTCGATTGTCGATTTGACAATTTATGCAGGCGCTGTTGAAACGCCGGTCGCATATTTATTTCCATCGTTCCATCGGATCGGTGGCTAGACAATGATGCCTGCGGCCCAATAAATAACACTCTTCTGACACAATCGAAATTGGCTGGCAAACAAAAATTTCTTGGGACTCTGTCTCCTTTGTCGATGTCAACTCCAGGGCAAAGGTCAGACATTTAACCCGCGTTTCGGCGTGGAAATCATGCCCAAAAACGAAACTTGACATCAAATTATGGAACCCCCAATCGTCTCCCCATAATCGAAAACAAAGTTGGCCCTGGGCTTAGTCTTTTCAGAGGCAAAACAATCTCAATCTCGATCTGTAAACTGGCTAACATATATAAAATTATACTTAAAATCGTTCCTATATTTTGAAAAAGAAAAAAAAATACGATTTAATCGCTCAACATGAGTGCGCAGAAGATTCGGGGCATCCTGAAGAAAAACCATGATGTAAGCCTGAAACCTTCAAAGTCAGCCTCATTCGACGAGATAAGTCTCATGCATACAGCACAGCGTACCGAAGTTTATATCCAGGACGCTCCCAAGCCGGTTATCTCTTCATATTTGTCCGTAACTAGTTTGGCTCGCGAGCTGGAGAAGGTATCGGAGAGTATTCAGTATGATTTCAACATCGACACAGAGGAGGATTCGTCTGACGATGAGCATATATTATCGGAGACAATCGAGGAGCGGGTGCAGCGTCTGGAGTTTGAACGTCGCCGCTCCCTGCACTACAATGAGTTTCAAACGGTGCAGCTGGCACGTCGCCTTATAAACGAGGAATTCTCCAACTTGACGGAGTCCATCGAGAGCGAAAATTTCTCCGAATTCATGGTCTCGAGCTGTGAGGCTGAGGAGTGTCCATTCACTGAAAGCGAAGATGAGCTAAAAAAGAGTAAGGAACAAATACTAGCCGAAAAACTCTTCTCCGAAACATATTACGGAGAGCCGGAGACAGAGCCAGAGGTCGCTATAGAGCCAGGATTCACGCCCTCTCATCCTTGCTATCACCAACTGATGGCCACAAAAAGCACAGAACTTCCTGAACAAACACTGCCCAACGTTGATCCAATTTAAAGTGAATTGGGGATTGGATGATCGAGTGTCACATTTGTTCCAAGGAGCTTCTTTGACTATTTTCTGTTAATTCTTGTTCATTTCAACTTCAAGTTATGCCATTTACAGAAGCTTTTGCGTTTTTTGTTCAACATTAGCTAAAAAACTAATAACAACGGGAGGAAATATACATAGAATCACTTTTCAATAAAAATTTAAACCAAAACACATGAAATCTGCTGCGGTCGTAGTTTCTTTTCTTAATTTCTTCTAGTTAATTTTGGTTTTTGTTTAAAAGAAGGAAGTACATACGTTGTTGTTCTTGTTGTTTTCATTTGAATAGACTTCCATATGTTGTTTTTATTGTGTCAAATATACATCCACAAGTCGATTGTTATTAATGAAGTAGTTTCCTCGGCCAAGTCTTAAGCACACAGCGATTGTTTTTAATGCTGTAAGAGAGAAAAACGAATGCCCTTGCAGAGACAGGCAGACAGACAAACCCGTTAAGTCAAGGCACAGCAAATATGTACAATGATTTTCTTGTCAAGATTTAATTAATGTCACACACATGCATCTAAGGAAATTTGTTCACGATTTCCAAAAACCATTCCCAAAATTTAAAAGGAAAGGAGCGTAATTAAATTAAGATTACATGCAGTGTTTGTATGAGCAAACACTATTATGGCAATTAAATGGTTCCCACCAATTCTATTACACTTAATTTTCATTCTCACACATATACATATATCATATTCAAATTTAATCTTCGCTTTTGCGGGCACATCACACAACACTCAATGACAATTATTCCATTTATTTCGCTCATTTTTTCCACACTCATACTAGCGGTTCTGCACAGCAAAACATTCTCGTAGTTTGCGGTTTATGTGCGGCAATCTTTTCTTTTCTTTTTGCTGCATTTTAATTACAAAAATGTATTTCCACTCATACGAGTATTGCTTTCACTTTCATTTGTTTTTCGTTTTTATTCCCTTTTTTTATGTCAAACAAAAGACGTGGGTGCTGCTGTGTAATTTTCACCGAGTTCTGCCTGCTGTTCAATGTTTGCGTAAAGCTTAAAAAAACAGAAATAATTGGTTTGGATTCTCTTTCAACCCCATCAAGGATTGCCTACCCTATCACATGAGCTTGGGTAATTCCATTTCAACTCTCCACTGTCAAAAGTACGAAGCACGAGGTGCAGCTGAGACGTCGACTTATACTAATTTAACATTCCTTTCGGCCATAAATGGAAATAAATATCACGTCATACGATCTGCACTGGCTAATGGCGACTTTGTTGTCTGAGCAGGATAATGTTAGTCGAAGGAAAATAAATTGTCTAGACATTGCTTGGCGGTTGCTTGAACCCCGGCTGATGCAGTCCCAGCTGTGGCTGTCTTGTCTCAGATTCAGCCAAAGACCAAATTTCAATCCCTACTTTAGTACATTGTGTGTACTTTTATGACATTTAATTGCCGTTTGCTTTCAGTCCCTACTCTCTCCTTCATTTGCACTTTTTGTCCTAAAAGTTTCAGCACTCGTTCAGTCATTCAACTTTTGTATATTGTAAGCTGAAGTATCAAATTCCAGCTGTATCTTGCCATATCCTCGGGCAAAAGGTGTGATGACCTCCCTCACAGATCTCCTTTGTTTCGTATATTAACGCAAACATATCTCAACGATGCAAAATTGCAGATCATCTTCAGTAAAGTCTTTTGTTGCTTGCGCTAATAATTTATTTAGTTTTTATTATAATTTTAAAGGCTACTTACTGGGTATCTAATTGTCGTTATACCGACTACAGCATTCCTCATGTTCTTCTTTTTTTTAGACGTCACAGAAAGTGACTCGTCATGCTGATGAATCGAGTCGAGTGGCTCACAAGGACCTCTTCCTAATCATCATAAAAACATTGTGGCCAGTCATTGTGACTTATGTCAACCCGATCAAGTGTGTCCTTGTTTTGTGTGTGTGTCTATGTGGCAACCAAGAGCGCAAACACAAATCGTCTCTTGCCCTGCTATTGGCAACATTTCGGAGAGTCTTCCGAGTTAATTCATCATCGAAGGAAGATTTTAGTGGGCAAAGCACAATGGACAATGGAGGGTAATCGAAGTTTCCGGCAATTGATAATCAAGTTGGTATGAGTACACTTGAAGTGGCTTGATTTTGCTTTGTTCCATTAGATGGATGCTGTTTGATGGCATCCCCTCATGCAATTCGATTTGTTAAGATACTTTTAATGCACAGAGGGCAGTGGTTTCTGCTTGATTGTACAACATTTTCTATCGAGCCAGGGAGGCAACGGGCTGTCAAAGTGTTGACCACAGTAATCATCTAGCGTTGGCACCAGGGTATTGCTTTAAAGAGTCACGTGCCGCCGAATTGGCCGGAGAAAACCAAAAATTATAGCTCAATGTGGAGCGCAGCAAAGTGCAAAGCCCGAAATTAGTTTACACTTGAACTTTGCCCTGCTCCGTGGCACCTTCGCACAGGAACAGGTCACCTGTCCTCTCCTCCCTGCCACATGTGTGGGTGGTGCTGGTTGAATGTGGCACCACTGTTCGGTATTCCCTCCATTTGATTTCTTTTTGCTGCAGTTGCAGTTGCAGTCGCATTCGTTTCGTGTTCATGCATAAACAAAATGGCTGCTGCAACAACCGGAAACTGACAGCAAACGACATTTGCGATATGCATCATATGTCTCCCCTCTTTCCCACCCCCCCATTATCCTGCCACCAGTTCCAATTCCACACACCCGCACCACAGCTCCAGCTCCTGCTCCTGCTCCTGTCACAGTCAACGAGGCAGCTACTTGGCATATTTCTGTCGTGTCATTGTTTCTTGTGCGTCTTTTTTCCAGCTTGCTGCAGCTGGTCCTGCTCCTGTTCCCGTTCCCGTTCCTCCTCCACTGTATGCCCCATCCTCCTGTCTGCGACGGTTAGCCTTCCAGGTGCAATTATGACGGCGGGCACCGTTGTCTCTCTGTGTGCCAGCACGAGCGAGTGTGTGGGGGGCGAGGATGTGAGGCAGGGCATGTGGCAGTGTCAGCGACACATAAACATTACATCATCAGGCAACTTTTTGTAACTGTCATAAAATGCCAGCAACAGCAAACAGAGGAAAGAACCAGGGACTGATTCATCAGCTGGAAGATTAAATACCCTCTTTTAGGAATATATTTTCTCTTCGCGAGGGAAGATGACCGCCTGAGAGAGTCCCGGAATAAAATATGCGTGTTAGGGTTTCTAAAATTATTTAAAGATGTTGAATCTTACCTGCCATACTTATTGTCCAATCTAACTATAATCACTTTTTCTATTGTAAAATAGATTCCGAAATAAATCGGCTAGAACTGCATCTGACAGAGCATTTCAAAACGGGCATAAAAAAAGATAGCAAAAAAAAGCACTGAACAAGCTGAAAACAAATGAATGTTGAATGCTGGCAACAAGATGAGAGCACACATATCGTTCCTGAGCTACAACTACACGGAAGAAACACACAGTATCATAGCAATTAAAAAAAATCAGCTGTTGCTAGTGAACGAGCACATCATTAACCAAAGTATCAATACGTTTCTAGTACTCGTACTTTAATGAAGAATAGCAGAATATTTCTGGTGCATATCCTCTCTTTGCATCATCTTATTATCTTTCATATGGCTGCGAGGCATTGTTTGTTTTTCCAGTGTACTACTGCAGGAGCCACTGTTGATGCTGTTGCTGCATTTCCGGCTGCTTCTGCTGCTGCCTCTGCTAAGCCGGCGTACTAAATCCGTATACACTCTGCCTCAACTCTCCCCCGACCATGTCACAACTCTAATGAGCTGTGTGTGTGTGTGTCTGTGTGTTTGTGGCGCTGCATTGTTGTTGACGCTTCAGCTGGCATATGACGCTTGTTAGGGAGTTTTTCTCATCGCTGTTGTTCTGCTGTTTCTTTCGCTGCATGTTTTATGTGCGATCCTCCTCGTCGCCGTAGTGGGGACTGTGGACTTTGGACTGTGCCTGGATGAAATATTTTCATGAGTTTTGACAGTAATGTGTTGCAATGTTTGTCCCAAGCCGGCAGCAGCGCCGTCTAGCGACGGAATGTCAGCCATTGTCGTCTGTCAAGCAGCCGTGATAGAGATGGAAATAGTACGAGCCAGTAGGGATAGAGATAGTAAGTACAAGGCGCGTGATAGAGATGGTGATAGTGCAGGCAGAGCCCGAAGAACGCGAAGGGGTAGGGATGGAGCGCGAGCAAAAGAGAGACAGCGACATGTTGCAGTCCCGTTGCTCTGGCTGCGAGTGTTTAAGCGTTGATTACACTTTCGTGTTTTGGCGTCGCCTGTCACTTGTCTCTTGTCCCCGCACAAGTTGTACTGTACTTCCCGCCACTGTTCCTGTTGGGAAGTGTGTTGTTCATTTGCCACATCTGTCCGCATTTGCATGTTAGTTCTGCACAACGAGTCTGTTGTCTTACCCGCTACGCTACTCCTTGAGCAAAGGGTTGGATCTTGGATACTATGATGATTAGATTTGAGATTTTGTTCTTTTTGTGGGTTTCAGCGTGGCTCCAGGCTCTCTTAACGTGTTGTGGAAAAGAAACCAGAGAGCGCTCAAAAGCCACTCCTAGATCGGCCGCTCTCTCGTATGATAGATACATGACTCAAGAGGCAACCGACGATTGAGATTTTAGCTTTGCGTTTTAATCTATTTCTTTTTAACGAATTGCTCGGCATGGTGTTTACAGAATTCCGCTAAATTATAATTGAAAAATCGTCCTTGCGGCTAGTTTTGCGTCTGCCTTGTGAGGATTTCGGAAAGAATTTGTTGGTGCCAAGAAGCTCATCTCGTCCATGTATGTACATCCGTAGAACCGCTGGACTTCCACAGCCTTAGCAGCAGCTCCACCACTACTTAAATTTGTTGCTCTCCGCAAAATAGTAGAATCTAACTTTAAAAAAAATTTAGATAAATTTGTGACATTATGTTAATACATATTAAATATTATTGTTTTATTGTCAGCTTCTGCAGTCAGCGCGATTGCAACTTTTATTTTTAACAACTAATTTATCACATCAAGAGCTCTTAAAATCACCATGCTGCGTTTTAGCGATACGATAACCTTTTCGGAAGGGTACAATAAATACGTACATATATGTACACTGTACATAC